TTTAAAACGTAAGACAGTACCCAGATTTGAAGACTACAGTAAGATTTAACTTCTATTGTTAACGTCGCTTCAATTCACAGTCTGTTTCTTTAGACAAGTTAGCGTGACAGAGTTGGACTCAACTTGGAGAATGAGGGCATCAATCCCACTTCCTCTTGCATGCTAAGGGAACGCTCTACCATTTCAGCTAATTCCCCTGGCCGTGGTGGGGTGAAGTCCATCGCTCCAAACGACTCCTTTGCAGAGCGACCGCTATTATAATGGGCTTTAAGAAAAGAGGCCATCTCACCTCTGTGCTTGCACCTTTGCACTGGCCGTAATGAAGTTGAAGAATTAACCTAGAGATTGTGCTTTTGTTTTAAAGGCCTTCTTGGTCTTGTACCCCAGTACAGATGTTTGTGGATTCCTGTATTACGTAGGATACCTTTGGATCAATCAGGTCGTGCAGCCAACTTCTCCCCTCCCACACTGCCCACACTGCCCACACTGGTTTAAAGTCTAAGGGACATCTGACTGTTTCAGCTGTCCTCCCAAGATCTGTCTACATATTAGGTTCAGCCCCATTTTTAAATCCATTCAGAGGCCAACTTTGATTTGTTTGGCTTTGACACTGTCTCGAGGTGTTTGATTACTTCCATGTTAGTTCATGTTCCTCCTTTTATTGTTGCTGTAATTGTTCCTTATTCTCAGCTAGACTCCAGTCAGGATAGGCTCATTGGTCTAGGGGTATGATGACCTTAGGGTGCGAGAGGTCCTGGGTTCAAATCCCGGACGAGCCCATAGTGAGGTTTGTACCATAAGCGCTGTTTTCTCTTTAGGGTCCCGAACGATCAGGAAGTTTTTGGTAAATCGGGCAGAAGCCCAAGCAAAGTTCATGTTCCTTCTTTTGTTGTTGCTGTAATTGTTCCTTATTCTCAGCTAGACTCCAGTCAGGATAGGCTCATTGGTCTAGGGGTATGATGACCTTAGGGTGCGAGAGGTCCTGGGTTCAAATCCCGGACGAGCCCATAGTGAGGTTTGTACCATAAGCGCTGTTTTCTCTTTAGGGTCCCGAACGATCAGGAAGTTTTTGGTAAATCGGGCAGAAGCCCAAGCAAAGTTCATGTTCCTTCTTTTGTTGTTGCTGTAATTGTTCTTTATTCTCAGATTGTTTGATTACTTCCATGTTAGTTCATGTTCCTTCTTTTGTTGTTGCTGTAATTGTTCTATTTTCTCAGCTAGACTTTTACCCGGATAGGCTCGTTGGTCTAGGGGTATGAGTCTTGCTTAGGGTGCGAGAGGTCCTGGATGAGCCCATAGTGAGGTTTGAACATTAAGTGCTATTTTCTCTTTAGGCTCCCCGAACGATCAGGAAGTTTTTGTTCAATCGCTCAGATGCTCAAGCACAACCAGGCCGGTTAGCTCAGTTGGTTAGAGCGTGGTGCTAATAGCGCCAAGGTCGCGGGTCCGATCCTGTATTCATTTGTTCTCTGGGAGCTCAGCTCTGCTCTTCAGGCAAATTGACAGGTGGTCTCATGGAAATACCGCTGTATAAACAGTGTAAGGTTGTGGCCAAAAGAGCTCATTTGGTAGAGCTTTAGACTGAAAATCTAAAGGTCTCTGGTTAGATTCTGGGTTTCGGCAGATGACACTCTTCTTTTCCTACCTTTGGATCACTCAGGTCGTGCAGCCAACTTCTCCCCTCCCACACTGCCCACACTGGTTTAAAGTCTAAGAGACATCTGACTGTTTCAGCTGTCCTCCCAAGATCCCTCTACATATTAGGTTCAGCCCCATTTTTAAATCCATTCAGAGGCCAACTTTCAATCGTTTGCCTTTGACACTGTCTCGAGGTGTTTGATTACTTCCATGTTAGTTCATGTTCCTTCGTTTGTTGTTGCTGTAATTTGTCTTTATTCTCAGCTAGACTCTTGCCAGGAATGGCTCGTTGGTCTAGCGGTATGATTCTCGCGAGAGGTCCCGGGTTCAAATCCTGGAAGAGCCCATAGTGAGGTTTGGGCTTCTGCCCGATTTACCAAAAACTTTCTGATTGTACAGCAGTTAAGGTCCAGGCAGTGTGGGAAGTTGGCTGCATGACCTGATTGATCCAAAGGTATCCTACGTAATACAGGAATCCACA